GGGGCTGCGCGCGGCGGTGCGCGGGGACCGCCGAAAGCGCCACGGCGGGGCCTGGCCTGGCGCCGCGGGCCGAGCGCGGCACCGCCCCGGCGGCTGGCACAGCGCGCGTGAGAGGAAACAGCGCCGCGAGTTGCCAAAGCACTGCCAAAAACCGGAAAACTAACCAAAACAAACCAGCCCCCCTCAAAAACCGAAACCTAGTGCCCCTCTGTGGGGAAATAAATGCACAACAGGCGCCTACACCGCTGTAGCACGGGGCAGGGAGTGAGCACAGTGGTGCCTGAGCACTTACAGCTTTGACTCTTCAGGACACTSGTAGAATTGGTGCTTATTTATTTACTCCTCAGGACACTGGTAGAATTTGTCCTTATTTATTTACTCCTCAGGATCCTGGTAGAATTGGTGCTTATTTATTTTTTCACTCATGCTTTAAGCAGCAAAGCTGGAGGAGGTGTTGAGAGCATCCGTATGCACTGCTGTACCACCACATGTGTCTGAGCTTACCGTGTGAGCGGTATGAGAAAATGCAGAGGGAAAAATGCAACGGAAAAAAAGGAAAGGTTCCCGCTGAGCAATGGATACCGCAAGGGCAACTTCGCTTGCACACRGGAAGCAGAGACCACAAAAGGGTGTTTAAAACTGCATCGACAGCTAAGGGAAGCACCTCCTGAAGTAGGAATCGTATTCTGTGTTAGAAATCTAGCAGATTTTTAAAGTATATTTCATAATCTAAGAAATCTTTGGAGAATAAAAAATGCTGCTTACATGAAAGGTAACGCTTGGTTAGCTTTAGAGTCAGGGATAAACTGATTTTGTTTGTGGTTTCCTAATGTCCTCTGCCTGCTCACGGGGATTCCTTCCTTCCTTCCTTCCTTCCTTCCTTCCTTCCTTCCTTCCTTCCTTCCTTCCTTCCTTCCTTCCTTCCTTCCTTCCTTCCTTCCTTCCCTCCCTCCCTCCCTCCTTCCTTCCCTCCTTCCTCCCTTCCTTCCTTCCTTCCCTCCTTCCTTCCTCCCTTCCTTCCTTCCTTCCTTCCTTCCTTCCTTCCTTCCTTCCTTCCTTCCTTCCTTCCTTCCTTCCTTCCTTCCTTCCTTCCTTCCTTCC